CATCTCACGCGGCATCAGCCCGCCGCTCGCCGGTGCCGCAGGGAGGCCGTGGCTGAAAGCACTGCTAAGGTTTCTGCCTGGCGTATCCCTATCGCCAAACACAAAAGACACCCAGCTGCCCAAAATACAGACTGTTGTAATGAGAGCAGCGCTGATACCACTGCATTCCTGTGCTGCAAGCCATAAGCCGCCCTGGTTTGGTTCCAGTCTGGCACTGCGCTATGAGGGCTGGGCACCACGCTCCTCCCCAAGGAAAGCGCACAAGGCTCCTCAGTGTTTGGCTGCTGGGCTGCAGTCTGCCCCTGCTCTGGTGCAGGCTGAGTACGCCCCGAATACGAAGGGGGCCTGGGCGGGGGCAGCATGTCCCATCGCTCAAGCCAGTCGGTGTCGCTGCCTCCAGGCTATGTGAGCCCTCCTGCCGCAGAGGAGCGGCGTCCCTGCAGCCCTCCTGCGCGCAGCTGCCTGGCACGTTAGCGTTGTCAAGTGGGGTGAGAAAGGCCTCGTTCCACATGTCGGTCAAACTCGGAAGCAAACACGTCAGCGCCCGAGAACGGCTCTGCGAAAGCGCCACGGTGCTGAGACAAGTGTTCTGCAGCCACTCACCATTTTTGTCAATAGGGGGGTACTGGAAGTTTCTTCGCATGTCGTCCAAAGACAGGCCCTGAGAAGGCTGTTGGCCAGTGCTGCAAATTAGACAGAAGGTGTCAGTACACATAGGACTGTTAAAACCTCCCCCCCCCGAAGACACAGCTTCAGAACACGCGAGCGCTTTCTACAGAGTGGGAAGGAAAAGACAGTAATATGATGACGTACGTCAGCTTGGTGCCCTGCTGCTGGCATTCGCAGTAAGGAAAAGCAATAAAAAACGATGAATGAGGAACGTGAGTCACAGGCATGCCCACACGCCATCCGTTCCTGAAGCAACTTCCCTCAGATATATTGTTTTGGGCTTCACAATTGTTTTTAAGTTGCTATTTTAGGAGCAATGCTAGGCATCAGTTCAGGAGTACTGCAATAGCAATATTTTATGCATCACTGCTCTCCAGGGCCTGTGAATTAGTCTGTCTGGAAAGGAAGATTGCTGCACTGTCTTAGGGCTACTGAGCAAACCCCTGGCTCGCCAGCAGGCTGTTGGTGCCTGACCCCCAGGCGCTGTCGCGCGCAGGACCGTCATTTACCGGCTCCCCTCACCCGCCAGGCAGACAGGCTCCAAGCGCGGCCAGAGAGCAGAAACGAGGCCAAACCCCACGGCGTTTAGCCCTCAGCTCATTTATTCCCAGGGAGGCACCGGCACGCCGGGCAGGGATGCGGGGCGCCCGCACCAGCGCCGCTCCCTCCGCGCTGCTGCCAAGCCGGCT